GTTTTAAAAGACAGAATAGCTGCTTGTAGCTTTTTGCCCATCCCCACTTTGTCAATGGGTCATTAAGAAGACCAAGCTAGACCCTTTACATAATAAAGAGTTCTCCACTTCAGCTCCAGGGAGATGGGATTAAGGCATGATAATATTGGCCCTTTACCCAACTCCCCACATGGCATCTAAGAACTCAACCAAACCTGAATTCAAAGGACAGCCTACAGAGTTGCCCCTGCATGGCCCCATGGGAGTCTGACAACCAATCAGAATACAAGCTCAAGATCAAAGGCCAGAGAGGGCATAGAAACCAGGGACTCAGCATCTCAGCCCTTCCTTCTCTTTTGTCCACCAACATTGAAGCATGTGATCACCTTTTCTGTTCAGGGCTCAAGCCACGTGGTCCTGTCCACCAATAAACCATCTTTCCAAGCAGCCCCCATGTCTCCAGTGTCCTTTTCCCCACTTGGAGCCGAACCCAGAAGGACATTTATTTCATCAGTGCCGTCCCTAATTTAACTGAGATTTATGGCAGGAATGACTAGCGTGTGTGTAAATCTCAGTTCTGTTATCTCCTCTTTGTCCTTGTGTGTGTCTGTGTGTGTCTAAGTCTTTGTGTGCCCTTGAGGTAATTACAGCTGTCAAGTGTCTCTGATTCTTTAAAATTTTAAATTGTCAGAAAAGAATTAAAAGCACTGAAAAGAAAAGAAAATGTATTTGCCAGTTTGGTCTGGCCAACTAAGACGGGGTGAAGAATAGAGTTCAACTTTCTTCTCTGTGCTTTTAAAAAAAGCCCAAATTTGTGAGGAAATGTTTTAAGTTCATTTATAAGAAAAATCATTCCTGCAATTTACTGTGTGTTTAAATAATTTTACCTGTTCATCTCTTTCCTAAAGCATGCGAATCCAGCTCCCTTTTTCTCATCCCCATATTGTTCCCAGTTTATCTGTTTAACTGTAATACTGATGTGTTGTTTCTTTACAAACTCTGCCTGCAAGCTATCTACTCCCCCACTCACCCTTCTCTAATCCTCCAACAATGCCCTTCCTGGTGAAATTACCAGCAAAGGGGGGAGGGGACCTTTTTCTCATGTCTTTCAGGCCTGCACAGATGACTCCAACCTGTGAAAGCAGAGCACATGGATCCAGGTGCTGCCTCCAGAGGAAACACCATACATTGAGCTAGACATTGGGTTCGGATCCAGCCTCCACTAGAAAGTCATCACAGTAACCAGAGCGGAGCAGACCTTGCAAAGCCTGACTGGCAAATCTTAACACCAAGCATGGCACCTGGTAGACATGAAAGAAAGGACCCTGAGATGGAGAAGTAAAGACTAAAAGATTCTTTTGAATCCCCAGAAGATAGCTGTAAAGACTATGGGGGAGTGTGGAAATGGATTGTAAGGTTTTCTTTTTTCGTTTCATTCCAGAGGTGGGTCCTACCAGTTCGCACCTATTCGGTAGAACCGGTTCGTCAAATCTACTGAACCGGTTAGAAGAGAACCAGTGAACCCGGAAAGCAGGCCACACCTACAGAAGAGGTTCCAAAAATTTTTGAAACCCACCACTGGTCCTTGGATA